CCTTCAACAATGAGTAAAACCCATTCCGCATAGTCGGCTATAAAAGGCCCCGAAATGACAAATGTAAAACAATTCAAACTAGAAAACTAACGGCCAGAATTATGTACAAAATTATATATTCCCTTGGAATGTCAACCAAAGATTAAAAACTGGATCTTCCTGTATTGTATTAGATACTTTGTTACTTACGTGTCCTTACACATAACGTTATATTGCTGGGTCTGTCAAGTACTCCACGAAACCCCTTACTAAACTACAGTCGACTCTCGTTATCTCGATGTCAGTCGGATCAGAGAAATATATCGAGATACCCGTAGTTCGATTCAAACGAATACCGGAAGTTTGACAAAGGAACACAACTCTTGGTTGGCTTTGTAAGGCTAAAATAGATCCATATATATGGGTCGGGATCGGTATTCTGGTCTGAGATCGATGTATATGCATGTTATTGTCTTTTATAATGTATTATATGTCGTTTTTTTTTGTTTTTTTTTTTGGGGGGGGGGGGGGGGGGGGGGTTGTTATTTCTTTGTGCATGCAGTAACAATTTTCCCTGTAGTGTTCGTCCGAGAGTATCATTTTTGACATTGATTCAAAGGCATGTTGAAGGAAAACAACACAATTATAATGTATCACAAGTAAATAATTCCTCAGATTTAGAAAATTTATATTTTTTTTCATTTTCTTTGGTTTCGATCTTTTCCCGCAAAAGAATACAAAAGATTAAAGATGCCGATTGAGTTGGTTTTGAATTGTTCACTGACTCACTTTGTGCACAACCAAGCTCATTTATAAGAGTTAATTGATTATAAAAAATTTTTTTAAATATTTTTTGATCATCATATTGCCTAGAATCTGTCCTGTTTAAGGGAGATAACCCAATTTGAAAATAATTCTTTGTATCGACAAGGACGATAACCCGTCCTCGCTCCATATGGGGTCACTTACTAATTTGACATATGCGAAAAGACGCACAATTAAGGGCATACGATACAGTTACAGGGGAGGTTATGACGTTGCTAACGTAAAATGTTATTTTCGCGACGTCAAACTTTGACATATGGGGAAAAGATGCATTTTTCGACTAATTTTTATCATTCAGACTGATTTAACTTGAAAACGAGTTCATTAACCCCTCTTTTTTAAAATGACATTAGGTTTGATTCCGTATGAAGATTATTTGTACCAATTTTCATGAAAAAGTCACCGATGAAATTTTTTTAAATTCGATAAATATACAGCAAAAATTGCCGTTTTTTTTTCTAAAATCATGAAACTTTGATAAAAATGAATTATTTCCAAAGAATTGTTATACAAATTTAGGACATACTTATGTAAAGAAGATTTTCCAAATGTTTTTACAAAAATCCGCTTTTGTTTATCTTTTGAAACAAAAAAGTTAGGTATGTCTATCCAAAGAATAGAAATATCCAAAAAAATGAAATTTTGAGTAAATGTCTGAAATTTTGACCCCATTTATCTCTTAAAGTAGCACATGAAGGTATATTTTTTATTACATATATATATTTGAATTGACTAGGTGTAAAATAGCTTGTATGCAAATTTTCGTAAAAATATCACCGTGGGATCAAAACTGTATCGTATGCCCTAAAGGAGTTTAACACCCGCTGATCTGTTAAGATAACTTCAGTGAAAACCAATACCAGATGTTATCGATAAGATAATTTAGATTTTTGTTTTCTGTATTTTGGACCGCCCGTGCGAGGGCTGTATAGCCAGTCAAGGTCGTTAAAAACTCCCATCATCATGTATTTTGGTGCAGTTTGTAAAATAAATTGAAGGCCGGAGTTCCTATTCGATCTTTGTTGAAACCTAGGACTACTGAATTAGTGTATTAGTACCAGTTGAAACATTGAAACGTCACGAGATGTTTTACCCAAATTAGTAAATGAAAAATGCATATAAATAACTAGAGGCTCTAAAGAGCCTGTGTCGCTCACCTTGGTCTATGTGCATATTAAACAAAGGACACAGATGGATTCATGACAAAATTGTGTTTTGGTGATGGTGATGTGTTTGTAGATCTTACTTTACTAAACATTCTTGCTCCTTACTATTATCTCTATCTATAATGAACTTGGCCCGGTAGTTACAGTGGAAAATATTTTGCAAAAATTTACAAAATTTATGAAAATTGTAAAAAATTGACTATAAAGGGCAATAACTCCTTAAGGGGTCAATTGACAATGTTGGTCACGTTGACTTATTTGTAGATCTAACTTTGCTGTACATTATTGCTGTTTACAGTTTATCTCTATCTATAATAGTATTCAAGATAATAACCAAAAGCTGCAAAATTTTCTTAAAATTACCAATTCAGGGGCAGCAACCATACAACGTGTTGCCTGATTGGTCTGAAAATTTTAGGGCAGATAGATCTTGACCTAATGAACAATTTTATCCTCATCAGATTTGCTCTAAATGCTTGAGTTTCAGAGATATAAGCCAAAAACTGCATTTTACCCTATGTACTATTTTTTAGCCATGTCGGCCATCTTGGTTCACGGGCGGGGTCATCGGACCCATTTTTTTAACTAGATACCCTAATGATGATTGTGGACAAGTTTGGTTAAATTTGTCTTAGTAGTTTCAGAGGAGAAGATTTTTGTAAAAGATTACAAAAATTTACAAAAAATGGTTAAAAATTGACTATAAAGGGCAATAACTCCTTATGGGGTCAACTGACCATTTTGGTCATGTTGACTGACTTATTTGTAGATCTTACTTTGCTGAACATTATTGCTGTTTACAGTTTATCTCTATCTATAATAATATTCAAGATAATAACCAAAAACGGCAAAATTTCCTTAAAATTACCAATTCAGGGGCAGCAACCCAACAACGGGTTGCCTGATTGGTCTGAAAATTTCAGGGCAGATAGATCTTGACCTAATGAACAATTTTATCCGCATCAGATTTGCTCTAAATGCTTTGGTTTCAGAGATATGAGCCAAAAACGGCATTTTACCCTATGTACTCTTTTTTAGCCATGTCGGCCATCTTGGTTTGCGGGCGGGGTCACCGGACACATTTTTTAAACTAGATACCCTAATGATGATTGTGGCCAAGTTTGGTTAAATTTGTCTAAGTAGTTTCAGAGGAGAAGATTTTTGTAAAAGATTACAAAAATTTACGAAAAATGGTTAAAAATTGACTATAAAGGGCAATAACTCCTTAAGGGGTCAACTGACCATTTTGGTCGTGTTGACTGACTTATTTGTAGATCTTACTTTGCTGAACATTATTGCTGTTTACAGTTTATCTCTATCTATAATAATATTCAAGATAATAACCAAAAACGGCAAAATTTCCTTAAAATTACCAATTCAGGGGGAGCAACCCAAAAATGGGTTGTCCGATTCATCTGAAAATTTCAGGGCAGATAGATCTTGACCTGATAAACAATTTTACCCCATGTCAGATTTGCTCTAAATGCTTTGGTTTCAGAGATATAAGCCAAAATCTACATTTTACCCCTATGTTCTATTTTTAGCCATGGCGGCCATCTTGGTTGGTTGGCCGGGTCACCGGACAAATTTTTTAAACTAGATACCCCAATAATGATTGTGGCCAAGTTTGGTCAAATTTGGCCCAGTAGTTTCAGAGGAGAAGATTTTTGTAAAAGTTAACGACGACGGACGACGACGGACGACGACGACGACGACGGACGACGGACGCCAAGTGATGAGAAAAGCTCACTTGGCCCTTTGGGCCAGGTGAGCTAAAAATAGACATTCTTATTCAACATGAATTGAGCAAAAAACTGATAGAAATGTAATTGAAATTTTCGTTCAACTATTTCACATATTTGGCCGAAAATCCGTTTGTCTTACGGTTCTTTTATATATATATATAAAACTGGTACCTCGAGAATTCGGAATGTCTGTCATTTTATTCAATTTCAAACATCCATTGACAGTTCATAATAATTGAATTGAACAGTATAATGATTGAGTGAGGATAACAGCACATTTCCTCGAGTTAAGTGCACGGTTGTGGGTTCATGTCTGTTATGTTTGTTTTTCGTAAATTGTTTTGTTATAAATTAGGCCGTCAGTTTTTTCAATTGAATTGTTTTATATTTTTCATGTTGGAGTCTTTTCTAGCCAACTATACGGTATGGATTTTTCTTATTGTTGAATGCCGTACGGTTGCCTATAATTGATTACAACCACTTCATTTGAACTTTGGTGGATAATTGTCTCATTGGCAATCATACCACATCTCCTTATTTTTATATGTATGTTGGATGTGTACTGGTAGATAATTTATCTTCAGATCGGTACTTTAGATCCTTTGTCTTCTGTAGATAGTTTTTTTAAATTTCGTGCCCATCTGACAATGAAGCCTTTTCCTACTAATTTCAACAGTTTGGTCTTGTGTTGTGCTGTTATACCACTGGCCCAGGTTCCGTGGGATTAAGATAGTTTTGAGCACTCACAAACATGTTTAACCCCGCCACATGGTTTATATTTTGGTTTTAAGTCAGGAACAACTTTCTTGTAATTATTTGGTTGTCGTTTGTTGCTGTCTGAAATATTTATTTTCTTGTTGTTATTGTTTTAGCATAAATCATTTCATTGTTTTTTTTCGTTTTAATTGTTTCGACATTTAACATGAAATCTCAAAAAACATGTTTATATAGATTAGACCGTTTTCCCGTTTGAATGGTTTTGTGACAGAGTATATTTTTACATATTTCATTTATTAGTATTTTACATTTTATTACATGCCAGATATTATACTTTATTCATTCACTCTGATCATTTGATCTTTTGATTTATAGTTTATTATCTCTTTACACTATAAATTGTATGAAAGTTCTAGTCAGTCATACTTCATTGAGCAAAGTTCTAATTGTATCTACCCGTTAACTCATTAGTAAATTAATTGTCACACCTTGTTTATCTTTATGGTCAGTTCTTATTGGTCATTCTGGACACACCTCAGATTTTGGAAAAGAAGTAATGGAGGTTAATTCTTGAAAATTGGAGACATACATATTTAATATTTACTTCTTATTTAAACCATATATAGTGATGAAACTTATATAGAGACATTCTATTTAGTGCTCGTTAGTACTCACTGAAGTTTCCATACTTTGGAATCACTGTAGTTATTGGAAATTACATTCTTTATATCTGGTAAGTAGATTTTATGTTCTTTGTGGTGTATGAAAGGCGTATGCAGTGCATGCTATACAATTCTGCCCGTTTATAGGTAAGTATGCCCATAGACCTTAGATATGATAGGAGTAAGATAGTTTATGTATTAGTCTGAGAATATATGATTTGAATCTGTAGTTTGGATGTAGAAAGGGAGATTTACAAATGATTTTGAAAGTGACCTTGACCTTTCAGTTATGGATCTATGACGTCACATTGACAATTGCGTTAATATTGCCATATATGGTAATTTTGTGTAATAGCTTGATTTTATTATATCAGTCTTTAATATGTTGTATTTTGTATAAGGGATCATTATTTTCCTAGATCCTAGAATTTACTATTGTGTATTATTTTCAGGACACATAGATTATGATGTTCCTGTAACATACTGGTTGTACTGTAGATGTTAGATATATAACCTGGTTCCACAGATTGGTAAGGGTCATATTATATTGTACCTATATGTCAGTTAACTTGAGTTCGATAATAGATATTAAACATTACAGTAGTGCATACGAACTTAATAGCTAGAATACTATAGTGAACAGTTAATAACCTTCGTATGGTAAAGGTTTTATGAATGACACTCGTTTATGAAGTACGATACATTCGACTTGTTTATAATACGCTTGGTTGATTATAATGATATGCTATTTGATACGACTTATCAGATACATGTATTTGTATTTAGAAATATAATTGCAAGTTTGTTGCATATTATGAATGTCACTGCATTCTTGATACTCAGTATAGTTTATTGTATATGGAATAGAATATTTCATACGATCTTGTAACATTGTTAATTACACCAGTATACTATTTGTATGATTCTAGTATAAGAATTTAATAAGACTGTGATATTGATAAATGTGATAATTATATGCTATTGTTATTGCAGGGTTATTTTCCCTATGTTTACTTGTATAATAAAGTGATGTCAAAGAACCCTAGACTTGTCGTTTATGGAACCCCCGTAAAACAAGACTATTATAGTTTTACACTAGTAATTTTTTGGGGCCCTTTATAGCTTACTGTTCGGTGTGAGCCCAGGCTCCGTGTTGAAGACCGTACTGTGACCTATAATGGTTTACTTTTATAAATTTTGACTTGGATGGAGAGTTGTCTCATTGGCACTCATACCACATCTTCTTATATCTATTAACCCCGCCGCAGTTTTGCGCCTGTCCTAAGTCAAGAACCTCTAGCCTTTGTTAGTCTTGTGTGTTTTTTAAATTGTGTTTCCAGCATCGTTTCCAACATATATCCACAGGTATATACCCTGAAGCTGACATGTTAATTGTCATACAAGTACCTGTTCAAAGCTAACAATCTTTATTGTTTTGAGAAGAATTATTGACTTTTTATTTAATATTGTTTCGGTTCAATGAATTTAAATTGAGGTGAAAAGAAAGCTTGTGATACAAAATTGACAAGGGATTTCAATAAAAAGTAGTTTTTTTTCATTTTATACAAGAATACTCTTGTATTTAGATTATATTAGTTTCGATTATTTTTTGTCATCAACAAGTTTCTTTTTGACGGCGAATGTCATGAAGGTATTCTACAACTATTTAACAGGTCTTGAAAGTTGCAAACTTTCCAATTCATTGTGCCAGAGACATATATATATATATATATATGTATATATGTCTCTGATTGTGCGCACATATTATTCGTGTATTTAGTTTCAAGAAATTAAATAACAGAAACTCGGTTTGATGTAAGATATATTATTTGATTTCATCTTGTCGTATCAAGTGGTCGAATTCAGTGGAGTATTCTAAATGTTGTTTTTATGCACTCTTTAAAGTGCGACGAAATAGAATTGTTCTCCTATATGATTGTGTATTCAAATCGTGCTAAAATTGTCTCAAAAAAGAATATCTAATTAAGGATTGCCCCAGATATTTATTAAATTTCGGTTATACCCACACGTGATAACAGAAACAAAAAATAACTAAGAATCTAATTATCTTCAATTATAAAAACGTTAATTTCATATTATATAGTGTTTTGTTATTCCTTCAACCCTAAATCAAGTTTACAAAATGTCGTTTACACTATATTACATGACTCTGAGAATATATTATGTCTCAGCATGACTGTGTAAACACGATTGTTTAACAGGTTACAAAAAAAAATCACCTACTTTTAAATCAAATTTGCAGCAAGAAGAAATTAACCAATTTGCAAAAAACTACACCACGTTAAACTTTAACTTTTCATCTTTTTCTTGGTCGCAGCGGCTAAGGTATATCATCAGTAAAAGTAATTTATTTATTTTTTCAAAGCTGACCACTCTTCCGAATGATGACATTTTCCTGCAAGAATAACGGCAAATGTAAGCCATTTGACATCACTGTAAAAAATCCTTTGTAGCAAGAAGTTCAAACTTTATTTTAAAACAATTTATATCATTAAAAAGGGGCGTAAAGGGGAGTATCTGCACGGAAGAACGCGAAATAAAATTGCCATTTCACGATGAACGAACAATTAAAAATTTCTTGCACGTTGATCTTTTTACCGATTTCACGAAACACGGTGAATAACGAACCTTTTTCACGGCTGCACGTGAAATAAAAATGGCAAAACACGTTGCACGAAAATAACCCTTTACCACCCTCATTAAAAAGAAGACACATTAAGGATTCTGATCGAAGCACCTAAGTAAACCACTGAGAAGAAAATTGAATATCGTCTTGTAAAGATTATTTTTAATCAAACTTCTATATAACGATTTTATCCAGGTAGGGTATCAGAATTCACGCATTCGAAATATCGACCGGACTGAATCATGACAATCTATACTACTATTAAAAATAACGAGGTCCAATTTGTTAGCCGGCATGACGTAAAAACGACGAATCAAAGAAAACTATTAAATATAGGACAATGGTGTTGATTAAAAATTACACCATTCCAGGCCCTTTTGTTTCCCATATAATTAAAATTATTAATAATTAACAAGTTCAGGGTCGAATCCGATACCGATACCAATAGTATATGTCACATGTAGTTTCCGGTTGTCTGTATAAAATTGAGAATGGAAATGGGGAATGTGTCAAAGAGACAACAACCCGACCACAGAAGAGACAATGTATGTTCTGTATCTTCCTCCTTTATTAGGAGCACCATCATGGGTAATGGTGTAAAAGATGACATTTAACACACTGTACATATTGGTACAGATTTAATGTGAGCATTTGCCTAATCAGTTTCCCAGCCTGGCCATGAATGGTCTTACTACCAGAAAGTTAACCTTCCCCAAAACAATAAGTAAAATGCAAAAAAAACCACACTTACCTGACATGCCCCGACATAAAGACTTTGAAACAATTTAAACAAGAAAACTGACGGCCAAATAAATAACAAAACAATTTACGAAAAACATATATGACAGACACGAACCAACGACAACCACTGTACTACAGGCTCCTGACTTGGAACTGGCACATAAAGAATGTGGCGGGTTGAACATGTTTGCGAGCGCTTAACCCTCTCCTAACCACAGTGAGGAAATAACACAACATAAGAACAAACTGTAAAAATCAGTTGCAATTGACTTTACTCAAAAGATAGGTATTAGGCATAAACACAACTTACATAAAAACAAAAGACACAAAGCGCCGAAATAAGAGGACTCGTTGTTACTGAAAGCTAGTTCAAAGCCAATTACATAGATATTGTCAAAAAGAAAATTTACAGCTTTAATCATTCCGGTAAGTATATCTAGCATGTTTCCCTTTTTTATTACAGAAGAAGGCTTTATATGATTTGAAACAAATAAATCTACGAACACATTTTTCAAAAGACCATTTAATTAAATAAGAGAACTTCTGTTTGATAAGATTGTGTGGCAGTGTAGTGTACAGAGTCAAAAAATCAAAACTGTCAACCGAATTGAAAGGACCATCAAAAGCATGTAATTTATCGAAAACATCCATTATTTCCATTATTTTCATATGCTTTATTACAAAAATTAAAAACAAGTTATATAATAGAAGTATGAGAACTAGTTAATTAAAGAGGCATTAGCTGTCAAATTCATGTTCACCGATTTGACTCAAATTCTCATATTTGATTTATAACATACTAAAACGTATATCCAAATAATAAAAAGTATATTACAATGCTCGATAATATGTATCAGCATTTCGTGTGTATTTTTGTCTAGACGCCATCTTATTAACCATCGAGGTGACATCCGAAGACTGCCGACGGTCATATAACCCAAAATAAACATAAACATAGATATAAATAGATAGCGAACTCGTACAATTGTTTTTTTTAGGTCTGTTTGATTTCATATTATAGGTTTAAAAAATATGTTAATAATCGTTTTTACCTGTATAACAATGAGTTTTTGTAGATCGAATCAGTCAACCAAATGGTTTACCCTTGTTTCACTTTCAATGTTGACATTCTTTTCTTTTTGATAGCTGAACACGTCTTGTTCATGCGTAACCCATCTCTAGCTAAGGGGTTCGATTGAAGTTCACATGAATACGGATTTAATGAGGTCGAATTATTCACTTGCAAGTGAATAATTCATTAGCGATGTTTCTTTGCTTATTTTGACAAAACTGAACCAAACTGGCTGCTAAAAGCGAATTATTATATCACTATTTCACTTTCATTAATGATTGAACAAAACAAATCATATTTTATTTTTTTTCTATATCTCGTAGCTAATGCCCCTTTAACAGCACAGAAAGATTGGTCTTTGAACATGCACTTACTAGAAGCTGAGATGAAACGAAATTTGAACTGGTTTTTTGTGTAGTTTAAGAAGTCAATATATATTCAACAACACATCCAACAAAGGACGATAAACTCTTCAGAAAACAGTACAACAATACATTTGATAAATTAGATATCACAGTGATAATTGCACAAACATACTAACTGTTATTTTCACAAAACCATTAAAACGGGGAAAAAAATCCTGGAACCACTAAAACTTCACCATTGCTTTCAATAGGGACAAACATCAACCTGGGAATTATAGACCAATCTCCATGTTTTAAATAAATTATAGCGCAAAATGCATATACATGTATATACTTGCATGCAACATTATGAAATACCTTGAGTCAAATAACAAAATTATATTAATCTTATCATCATGGATTGTTTAAAAACTTTAAACAGAGTTAAATACAAAAATGAAAACAACACTTTATAAGTGTCATGCGTCCGAAGCACTTATCTGGATTTACCTTAATCAATAACACTCAAAGCCGACTATTTGAAAGTCAAGGATGTATCAGAACCGAAACAGTTGAAGAGCTAAATCCCCAGAAAGTACCTAAAATGATAGCCAATTCCATCTAAGGTCAACATTGCCTCAATGGTGGCTGAAACCATAGATTCTTAATATATTTTTAAACCTATAAACGGACAATGTAAGAAAGGTTTGTTATATGTCAGTATTGAGGTTCTTAAATCATGTCAGTATTGAGGTTCTTAAATTATGTCAGTATTGAGGCTCTTAAATCATGTCAGTATTGAGGTTCTTAAATCATGTCAGTATTGAGGTTCTTAAATCATGTCAGTATTGAGGTTCTTAATCATGTCAGTATTGAGGTTCTTAATCACGTCAGTTCTGAGGTTCTGACTACTGATCTGATGATACCCTCATGCTAATACCGAAGTATTCTTTAATATAGACTTAGATTATTTGGTATATATACTAGTATATCAGAAGAGAGGCGAAAGATACCAAAGGGATATTCAAACTCATAAGTCAAAAACAAACTCACAATACCATGGCAATAACGAAAAACGATCAAAACACAAACAACAGTATACAAAATACAACATGGAAACCAAAGACCAAACAACAAATTATATAAAATCTTTTCTACTTTACCAAACAAACCATTTCATTTACCGATTGATAATATAAAAATCTGATTGATTTAGATTTGAAGATGACATAGAAA